CTTTTGCTGTCAGAGCCTGCAGAGAACCCCCAGGGCAGGGTGGGGGTCTGCTGGCTCGGGTGGGTTTCCAGCAGGCACGGAGCTGTTTTCAGCAGCGGGTTTGGGATGACTGGAGACATTGAAAAGTCTGTTACAGTGACGATAGAACCCCAGGCTGGTTTGGGTTGGAAGGGACCTTAAGGCTCATCCAGTTCCAACCCCTGCCATGGGCAGGGACCCCTTCCACTAGAGCAGCTTGCTCCAAGCCCCCTCCAACCTGGCCTTGAGCACTGCCAGGGATGGGGCAGCCACAGCTTCTCTGGGCACCCTGTGCCAGCGCCTCAGCACCCTCACAGGGATGACCTTCTGCCTAAGAGCTCATCTCAGTCTCCCCTCTGTCAGGTTAAAGCCATTCCCCTTGTCCTGTCCCTGCATGTCTTTGTCAGAAGTCTTTCTCCAGATTTCCTGTAGCCCCTTTAGGCACTGGAGCTGCTCTAAGGTCTCCCCTTAAGGAGCCTCCTCTTCTCCAGGCTGAACAAGTCCAGCTCTCTCAGCCTGTCTCCTCATAGGAGAGGTGCTCCAGCCCTCTTATCATCGTTGTGGCCAGCTCTGGACCTGCTCTAATGTTGGAGAATGATAATGAGACACCAAAGAGTTTCCCCAAGCAATAGTGTGTCTGTTGTGGGTTAGTTGGTCACAGTGACCCAAACAAAGCTCTTTTGGCTCTTGACCCTTTGATTCTTCCAGGGTAGTACGAGGATAGTGATGCCCTCAGCAGTATCATCAGTTGATGTGAGGAAAGAGTTGGGCTATACTTCCTCAGTGAGTCTCGGTCCTGGAGCTCATTCACATGAGTGAGTACGTTGAAGATCTGCTGAGTAACTGCTTCCTTTTGTTGCAATGTGCTTGATACTAAGACTACAGCAAAGTGCAGGGGCTTGATGGATGTGTACAGGAAAAGACATTTGTCCAAATGGAACAAAACTGGGAGGAGGTGCACATAGCAACAGTCAGAAAAATAACAGAGCCACCCAGAGCTGGGATTCCCTTGGGTCTGAGTGTTGCCTGTTAGTCGGGCAGGGAATGGCGCATGTAATTTTTCCTTGTGTGTAAGCACAGGTCCAGGGCGTGGTAATACAGGCATGGACTGATTTTGATGTGTACATTTATTATTGAATTAATGGTACATCTGGAAGGAAAACAGGAAAAGGAAACTGCCAGACAGGTGCAGCTTGGAAATTAATGATGGCAAAGAAGTGAAACTGGAACTGCAGAAAAACACAGTCTGCATGAACAGCAGCTACCAGAACTTCAGAGATACAAGGGAACTGTCTTCCCTGGGTAAATATTGGTGGGGTGTTGTGTAAGGAATCCCCAGCTCAGCAGAACAGTCCGTTCTCCAGCACATCTTTCTGTTATCAGAGAATCAGTTTTTATTAGACAACAAGTGTTCAGGTTTACCAGTGTAGGTGCAGGAAACACGCTTGGAGAAACAGAAACAGTTGTTTCTTTAGAGCCTGGCAGTCAGTAAATGCTTCTGATGTCAAAAGTGTGATTCTTTAGTTTTTAAATGTTTGACTAGTTTTTTACTTTTTGAACCTGTGTATGTCATTTTTCTTATGACTGGCTATACAGGGTGCATCACTTGCATCTTGCCACAAGGAGGATCAGGGGACTGGAGCATCTCCTCTGAAGATAGGCTGAGAAATTTGGGGCTGCTCAGCCTGAAGAAGAGAAGGCTGCGTGGAGACCTCAGAGCAGCCTTCCAGTATCTGAAGGGGGGCTATAGGGATGCTGGGGAGGGACTCTTCATTAGGGACTGTAGTGATAGGACAAGGGGTAACGGGTTAAAACTTAAACAGGGGAAGTTTAGATTGGATATAAGGAAGAAGTTCTTTACTGTGAGGGTGGTGAGGCACTGGAATGGGTTGCCCAGGGAGGTTGTGAATGCTCCATCCCTGGAGGTGTTCAAGGCCAGGTTGGACAGAGCCTTGGGTGAGATGGTTTAGTGTGAGGTGTCCCTGCCCATGGCAGGTGGTTTGGAACTGGATGATCCTAAGGTCTTTTCCAACACTAACTATTCTATGATTCTATGATGTTTATCTAAAACAAGGGGGCTTCTTGAGTTGTGTTATATCTGGTGGAATGCTGCTTTTTGACAACTGTTTTACACTGGTACAGATGAACTTTCTGCTCAGTGACAGGTCCTGCTTAAGGGTACATTTTGAGTACACAGGGAGAAATCTCATGACACTGCACTGTCAGGAAGTATCTATGCACTTATACCAAGATCCCCACGTAGTTTCTTAAATCCAAACTCCAGGTCTCTTCTCCTCAGCACCTGCTAGTTCCCAGGAATTTAGAGGATTATATTTAAACTGTTCCAGAGTTACCTGGTGTGAGACCTGTGCTTTTGTCTTTTCCACTGTTGGGAAATGGCTGGGGAAAATTCTGCTGTCTGGAAGCTACAGTGTGGACCTCACAAGGACCTGGCATCCAAGAAGTCTTATGCTTTGGATCCTCCTTCCATTAACATTTCTGCCATGGAGCCCTAACCTAGAGCTGAGGAATGGAGCTGTCTGCCTGGCTGCGAAGAGCACATTGGAGATACGTGGGGAGTCTGCTCTGCCTTTCCAAGGGGTAGAGAAAGTTTTGGCAAAAGCACTGTGCACCAGGGTTTTTTTCCAGCGTGGAATTGTAAGGATCCTACGAACGGCTTCCTTCTTCCACAAGATGCCACACTGGGATTAATTGTATGCCTAAGGAGAAATCGCCCAGTGCTGTTTAAGAACCAGCTCTTCCACTTCTGACCAAGTGGTTCAAGTTGGCTCTGAAGCCAAGTTGTGATCAGTGTAGGGACAAGTGAGGACACTTAGTGTCTTGCTGGCCCTATGGCAATACTATCACTGCTCTGTGGGAAGATTTGGCTTTGGTCCCCATGTGCTTCAGGACCTTGCTTTGGGGACACTTGCTACTGGGCATCTCCAAGAATCTCATATGAATGTCATCTCTGGATGGCAGCAGTTGGATATAGGCCCTTACCAGGGTTGGGAAGTCCCTGGAAGCTGGTAATGCTGAGGGGCTGCCCTGAGGGGCTGTGGATGCTTCCTTAGCACAGCATGGGGTGCTGTCTTGTGGGCTGCTGAGCTGAACAGGGAATGCTTTTCAGCTCACTGAGTCATAAGAGTTGGTGCCTGGTGTTACCATAGAAATCAGATCAGCTGCTAAGGGGTGGGGAGTCCTTGTCCCTTGGCTCTGCCGCTGCTTGCATCGTTCCAGCATGAGCTCACTGTGTAACGGGACCTGATTTCTTGCTCCGTCTCTCTTCAGGATCAGAGGGGGTCAGATAGCTCTCACAGCCCTCACCGGAGGGCAGGGAGTAGTTTTCCTTGGGTGTCTGCTTGCGTGCAGTGGTCAGACCCTATGTGTTTGCTGTGCTGCCTTGCTGATCCGCTGCCCATCTGTGTTTTGCTCGTTTGTATTTCAGGGAACTTCATTTGCTTGGCAACAGCTCCCAGCCCTTTGGGAGCCCCAGAGAGGTGCAAAGTGGTTGTAAACCGATGAGTAGCAGATAAGAGAGGACAGGAAGTAGTGAGTGCGGAGTGACCTACACAGAGGGCCCAAACACCGAATATCCAATTTCCTGTGCTCTCAAAATGCATTCCCAAGATAGGTCGCGAGTGTTGCCCTGAGCACGGATGTGACGCCTTCCAGGGCTCTGTTTCTCACAGGTTTTGTCCTCTGGGCTTACATCTGAGTAACTGCTTCATCATCTTCTCTGGATAAATATACACATTCAAGCTCTAGGGATGGAAGATGCAGATCATCATTGCCCCCCCATTCAGCTAAAGGAAATAGCTTCACTGTGAACATGATCTTTCCACACAAAGGCATTGTGCCTCCTCAGATCATCTTTGAACCCTTTGCTCTTCTTGTAGTGCAAAACAAGCACAAGCCTGTCTGAGAAGCAGCGTTACAGAGAGCCTTGCTTATGCAAGGTGTCATTTTGTTTTGCTACAGTTCTTCTTGGCTTGCTGCCTGTTGGCTGCTGGATCACTGTCTGTGTGGTCCATGTGAGCAGTCCAGATCGATGTGCTTGTCATTTCCAGTGTTTCCTTGCTTACTTCCAAGACACTGAGGATAACAGCTGTTTCCTAGGGGTTGTCCCTAAGAATTGGTACCCCTAGGAGGTGCTGTGTGCTGTGCTAGCTCAGTCCTGGGTTTGACACATCATCTGCTCCACGTGAAAGTGCAAAATACCTGCAAGCAGCAGCAAATGTACTGAGCTGTCTGTTTCTTGGACCTCTTAATTCCTTGGTCTCCTCAGTATTATGTAATACTTGGTGAAAAACACTCATTCTGACTATATGGCTTTAGATTAAAGAGATGATTCCTTGTCTTACAGGAGAAAGGGTTTGCTGGGTGATGCTGAAAGAAGATGACTGTTGTGTGTGTATTGTTCTCTCTGTCTTATTAGCTCAGCCTACGAAATCCTGTTTTAAGAAGCTGTTCACTTTTGTGTTCAGATCCCAGCACACTGAAGCAGGCACTTCAGTGCTGTTGAGAGCTCCAGCCCTCCCTTATGGGGAGAAGGGAGGGTGATTCCTGGGAATGCTTCCAGCACTGGGCCAACTGTGGAAACAACTGGGCTTGGTGCCAGCCCTTCGGAAGGAGGGGGAGCTCAGAGCTGGTACAGTGAGCGTATCAGGCAGGGGCTGGTGTAGCCTGTCGCCTTCCTCAGCATCTTGTTGCTGCTCCATTTCAGGAGAGAAACTGCTCCTCACAGAGCTTTGGCCAAGCAGGGACTCCAAGAGGGTTGGTACGTGCTCCTGATGGTCTTTTGATAGCAATTGGCACCAAAGAATCTGACATATGTCGGTGCTTCTGGCTTGGAGGAGTAGGAGGAGTTCCTGCCTGTGTTAAGGGGGAGGGGAAGTATGATCTCTGAATACATAAAGGGAGGATTTGGGGGAAACCAGAAGAAGAAGAGCCTCTATGGGGAGGTAAATTGTGATCTCTCACCCAGCAATCTCTGCAGTCCTCATTGTAGACACTACGAAATAACCCACGGTGTTTGGGGACCATGGCTACAGACCCGCTCTCGGAGCTTCAGGATGACCTGAACTTGGATGAGACCAACCAGTCCCTCAGCCAGCTCCAACTGGCCTCCATAGATGATAACAGCTGGCCAGCAGATAAAGTCCCTGCTTTTCCTCAGTCAGGTGAGTATCCTGCTTGTTTGGGGTCTGGGTTTCGACCAAAAAGGATTGTTTGTCCTGCAGCACTGTGGTCATATCTGCACATACAGAGAGGCCCAGCTCCATCTGAAAGCTTTATAGACACATTAATCCTGTACCACACCCAAGTGAATTAGCCCTGCCACTGAAACAGCACTAAAAACCTGAGAGCAAGCTGATGTAAATATGCTTTCCTCCATCCTGTGGCTGAATGCACTTTGGTGCTGATAGTACAGACATGCTCTAAGTCCTTGAGTATCCTTTGTTATGGTCTCTTGCAGGATAGGTTGGCCTTCCTGTGTGGAAGGGTCTTGAACTTCCATATGGGAGGTGGGGCTGGAGATTGAGTTGCTGCTCTGGAATCCTGTCCTACGGACTGCTGCCCAAAGAGGTCGGGGATATTAGCTCAAGGGCTTATAGGATGACTGTGCATCTAGGGGTGATGTTAAGATCCTCCTGCTCTGGAAAGCCATGATGTTGCCCTTGGCACTTGGATTTTGGTCTCTGTGAATGTTTGTGACCTATCAGAACAGTTGTTTGTGAGAGAATATACAGTCTGAGGGACATGTTTGGACCTCATAGGATTGACAGGTCTCTTCTGAAGCCATTGCTGCTCCTGTCCTCTCAGAATTTCACAGGAGGGTTTCCAAGGTGGACAGGTACATGCATTAGTCCCTCCTGTATTGAAGAACCATTTTTTCTCATCCCTGTACCCTTGGCCAAGGTGATCCAGATCCCTCCTTCTAATTGCTTTTTCCTTGTGTTTTGTGCAGAGGACTCCAAAGGCTCCCCTGAGCCCGTCACTCACCTGCAGTGGGATGATCCCTACTATGATATTGCCAGGCACCACATTGTGGAAGTAGCAGGTAGGGATCTTTCTGTTTTCTCCTGTGATGTCTTTGCAGCTGGGCTGAGGAAGGGTCTTTCTAATGGGGTTGTGGGGGTACCTGCTGTATGCCAGGCCCATGTGACAATGACAGCTGGCATCCTAAGGAGAAGAAGCACCAAACTTCATGAATGCTTGCTGTGTGTGTAATGTTCCACTGACCTTGGTTAATCTTGCATTGCTTCTTGGCTCTTGGTTTCTTTTGCTGAATTGGTTTAGATGTGGCCCTTGACTATGTCCTGAGCATAGGATGTGGGTTTTGTGTGATAATGGCACAGAAATTACCTAGTTATACAGTACAGTTGCAAGGGCCTCAGCTGACGGAGTAATTCACAGTAAGTCTGTCAGCTCTATTGTATCTGAGTGGCCAGAGCTTGCCATCTTGTCCAGAAACAGCATTTACAGAAACAGGGGGAATAGACCCATGTCCAACTGCAAGGAAAGACCTGATCGTTCAGGGTCAGGAGCATTTGGATTTTCTCTGTGTGCTTGTCTTATCCTTATTATTTTAATGACACTAACCCATGGCAGTTTACTGCTGGGGCATCCAAAGAAAGAGTTTTGGGGATATTCTTTATGTTGCTGTGGTAAGCATGAGGGAAGGGTAATCCCAGTTTGCCTTGTGTTCCAAATGCCTCTTTGGCCTGTTGCGACTCGATTCACACTTCCTTCTCCTCGATTATCTATGGCCACTTCCTACCCCTCCTATTGCCATTCCTCTGCCTTGGTCCCTGCCCCACATGTGAAATTGCAGTGAAGCAGAGCACAGGCTCAGGGTTGTTCTGCAGCAGGGTTTTACAAGAGAGAGAAGATTCTCAGGCACTTACCTTGGTAAGAGTTGTCCTGACACCGTTCTTTTCTGGTCTGTTTTCTAGAATGAGCTTGCTTTCTCCTAACCTCTCATGTTACATCATTTGGGGAGCAAAACAATAATGGTAAACTCAACACTTTGTTGTCCTTTGTGCCTCTGGCTGCTCAGGTTGACAGGCCCGGGTATTTAATGTTTGGGCCATAGTGTCTTGTAGATTTGCCACTAGCACTTCCATTTGCAAACGTGTTACTAACCTTTTCCATGAGGCTGGAGTTTCAGGACTGGGGTTCATAGAAGTCTGCACCCCAGTGTCCCTACTGCTGGAAGTGGGAAGAGACTCTACCAATTTCAGTGATAACAGTCAGACTATTTGTAATGCTGATGGCAGAGGTAACTGGCCTTTCAGGACTCTGGGAGCTGATGAGTTAACTGGCTCTGTTGTTCACTTCAGACAAAGTGCTTAGCAGAGGGTTTAGATCAGAGACATTGATAAGTCTGGAATGTCAGCCCAAACCAAGGATAATACTTTGTGTGCTGCCTCCTGATGTAAGCACCAGTCTCTCTGCGGGGTTTCTGTTCCAAGGTAACACCATTTAGGTTTTTTTCCCAAGCTCTCTGAACGGAGTATCACTCCAGTGGAGGTGTGTATGGAGGCCTTTGGAATGTTTAACACGTTGTCTAGGATAGCAGATGAATTATCTAACTTCCTGAAAGGATCTGGAAGTGGTTTGATGGCTGACTGGGAGCTGTGCCTGCATTCTGAAAGAGAGCTCTTCCCTGACAGTGGTTTAAATTGGTATTTCTAGGGAGCTGTCTGTCCCTCTTGTGTCTCTGCATAATTCAGAAGCAGCTCAGAGAAGCTTCTGTTGTTGGTTGCTCCTGGCCAGTGTTCACCAGTAGCTGGTTTATCTAAAAGCATGCAATGGTCCCACACACATAACGTGGTTGATGCCTTTCGTGGCGTTGGAACAGTAGCACAGCTCCAAACAGTGGATTTACTGCCACATAGTTTGGAGACTCCCTTGTGTCTCGTCTCCTGAAAGCAGGATTTATGAAGTGGGTCTATGGGGCCTGAGTTGTAACTTGGCCTGTGAGGTGATGCTGTTTGTTCAGGTTTTTTGGTCAAAAATTGATATGTTTGGAGAATGGGCCGTGTTCTCTGGGCTGTTGTTGGAGTCAACCTGAGAAAACCTGGGAAAATGCTGTTAGAGATAGCCTGGCGAATCAGAACTGCACTGCAGGGTTAATATGCAACTGTTTGCATCTGGCTCTCCTGACAAGTTGTGCTTGTCAGCACCTTCATGTGCAATGAACGCTCCTCATGCTGAGCCTGAAACAAGTAGCTCCAACCCGGTTCTCTTGTAAATGCTAGCAAATGGCAGCAGATCAAGGGTTGTTTTACCCATTCTACTGCTTTCTGAGCTTTCTCTTCTGTGTCCTTCCCTGTTGTGCACTTGAGAGCAGAAAGCATATGGCTAACTCTGTTCCTGCCTTCCCTGAAATACATTCTGGGATGCTGATGCTATTTTGAGACAAAACCAGAAGGCTGGTTCCCATCCTCGGGCTGAACTCCATGATCCCAGGGTTATCCTGTGTGGTCAGAAGAGTAATTGCTTCTTGCAGGAAGGAGGGGTGTGTGGTGTTAATTTAAACTTACTAAAAGCCCAGTTTTGATGACAGAAAGTTAACACACTCATTTTCTAGCTGGCTTTAATTCCTGATGGAGTTCAAGGCATGCTGGATTTGAATATCCTGGATATCTGGCCTAAAGAGGGGGGGAAATAACATTGAAGATATTTTGCTAGAAATTTGCTAGAAAAAGAAGGAGTTTGCTCTTGTTTTTCATTTAAAAATAGTGCAGCAGCTTCACAGAGACTCTCCTTTTATGCCCTGGGCTCCAGTCCCTTCTGGAGACTGGGATCTTCCTGGAAGAGGCTGTCTGTGGGAAGGAGCAGGAATGTCATTGCTGTCCTTTGAGGTGGTGTGTCATAGGAAAATGGCAACAAAAGGCATCCAGGCCCCAGTTCCAAGGGAGTACAACAAGATGTTCCAGTTCTGGGAAGCGTTCCTTTAGTTCTGGGGTTCAGCGTTGTTCTGAAGGAAGGAGATGGTACTCTGCCTTTCCCTGCAGACCTGCCTCACGGTGTGAATTTCTGGAGTGCTTTACGCAGGCTCTGGAGAGGTTTCTGTGTGGTTGTGCTCTTCTTGACTCTTGAGTTCCTCTTTCTGTGAGCGTTGTAGCAGAGAAATTCGTCTTCGCACATGGATGGAGGCTGGAGCAGAGGCGGCTCAGTTTCACTGCACAAACCACTTCTGCAAAGTGTGGTTTCTCTTCTTGCTCCAACCAAATGGCATTCAGAAGAAACACAGGCTTCTGGTTAAAGAGTTTGAGGAACTATCCCGAATTCCTGTGGTGTGTAACAGTTTCTGTATCCTTTTGCTAATTCTATGGCAAAGGTGCTGCTTCCATCTCCTTGAGGGTTGAGGCAGACTGGTGTGACATAATCTTATCCTTGAATGGCAGCAAAGGCTGAATTGCAATGGTATGCTTAATAACAGGCCGAAGGAGGTCTCTGGAGATGGCAGTTCCTATTGGGAACCTGGAGCTGTGTGGGAAGAGCAGGACTCTGGACAGCTTTAGCAACGTGTTCGTCCCTTGTTCTTCTGCAGAGTCCAAAATACTGGTCTCACCTTTGTGGTCAATATGCAAACCTATAGCTATAAAGTGCATCACCATTCCCATGTTACACAGTAACTGGTTTTCTTCTTTTTGGGATAAGAAAACTGGGGCTTAGGATATGACCAGTGAATGAGTTTTCCACTGCTGTGGAGGCTAGAAGTTGGTGATGCAGTAGTCAGCACAGTGGCTGTTACTATTTACTTTAGCTATGTAGTCCCTGCCCTGTGACTTCAAAGCTTTGCTGAAGCTCAGAGCATGTTTCTGCTAGCTTTTGTGGGAAAACTGCTGCTTCACACCAGTTAACTGTCAGTCTCCAGGGCTGCCCTTGAAGAGGAGGCATGATGCTAGTGTGTGTAAGACCTGTGATTGAAGAGGGAAGGCAGGGTAGAGAGCTGGGGATGTAACTTACTATGAGTTACTAGATTAAAGCTGCAGTTTCAACAGTGAATCTTTATTTCAATGGTGAATCTGGTACCAAACCTACCTGAAAACCATTGTGGCTGGCTGTTGGCTGCAGGTGCTAAAGCTGTAACTAGTGCTGATGCTTTGTTGTTGCTGCCTGTGATTGACATGAGGAGGTAAAAACAATCTTGGAGCACCAGTTTCATTAAGAAGGCAAAGCAAACAAGGACAAACCTTGTGCTGAAAGTATGCTGCAGTGTGTTTTTGGTGGCAAAGGCCTTTGATAACAAGGGTTCTTCTCCCTTCCGGTATGGTACATTATTATTGGCCCTATTAATACAGGGTGCATCCATTTCTGCTGCTTTTGGGTGTAGTTTCTGCCTTTGACATATGTAATTTTTGTTAAGAGTATTTGTATGATATAGAATGATGAGCTGCATCTGCAGAATTGGGCCCATCAGAGCAAGCCCAGCTTGTGAATCATGTTTTGACATGCAAGATCAAGGGAATGGAGAGTGTCTGAGGGGTTCTGAGCTCCTAAGGGAGACCAAGGGAACAGAGAGTTTCTTTCTACAGCCCTGCTCTAGAACTCTCCATCCTGTCTTGACAAGCCTATATGGGTCTCTTGAGTGCATAGCTAGAAAAGTGATGGAGAGGGGCTGGGCATGGCAATAACCACTTTGTAACCACTCTCTGGTCATTCTAATTGGCAGTTTATATTCAATTCAGAACCTACCAAACATTTTCTTTTAAGCTGTGTGTTGAAGATCTAAATTGTCCCTATCTGCAGCTCATTAGTGCAGTTTATTTAGTTCAGCTTATTTAGCTTCTTGCAAACCAATCCGCTGGATGTGTTATTCAAACAGTGTGATGCCATTCTCTGTACACTTCTGAAGTTGCTCGAAGGACCTTGGCATTCAGATTTAATTGTGTTTAACCCTTTTAAAAGAGGCAGGACAGTGGTTGCCATTTTGGTGGTGAGGAAGGTGTAACAGTAGGGGTGAGAAGTTTGACTGATAATACAGAATTAGATGCAGATTCAAGACAGAAATATGGGAATCATGGGTTGCTGTTACTGCTTCTGATTGTTAGATAAGATTGCTTTGGAGAAGAGCATGGGACAAAGATGAAATAGAAGGAGCATGATTGCTGCAAGACAGCAACTAAACACATCCCAGTGGCAATCCAACTAGCCTCTGAGACTATACTCAAGATTGCTTTCTGGGAAAGGGTACAAAGCTTGGCTTGCTATAACCTTGTTTCTGTTCCTCCAGACCAGGGTGCACTTGATGGGGCCCAACCAGGTAGGTAGACTTTTTGTGGCGCTAACATTTGGTACTGTAGATCATGGTATTCCTTTAGCATGACCATGGCCTGTAGCTGGACTGTCTCAGGGGAGCCCAAACTTTGCTCAGCTTTAGGCTGCATTGGCAACTCTTCAGGAGTCCAAAGCCTGCACCAAATTGTTGTCTGAGGGCTGCACCTCTGCTTCCGGCACAGCAGAACCATTTGAGCCAAATTGGGCATGTGGGCTTCACTTTGGGCACTTTGGGGCTCTTGGGTCTCAGTGTCAATCCTGTTCCTCTTCTGTCATGGTGGTGGCCTGCTTGGACCAGTTCAGTTTGAACTGGGATTTGCCTCGTTGTCGTGTGCTTTGGAAGTTCATCCTAGGATTGCTTTCTATTCCTTTGTACAATCTGCTGCTGCGCTCACATGCCAAGCAGCTGGTGCTTAAACTGGATTCTCCAGCTGAAAGCAACTGTTAATCTGTTTCTTCTCCATTTGGCTGCAGAGATGTTGTGTTTTGGTAGCTTATTCTAGCCTGAAGCTGTGCTAGACTGCTCTGTGCTTGCTGAGCATTTGTTAATACTCTCTGGACTGCAGTCCCAGTCTGGCTGCTGGCGCTTTCACACTTCTCAGTGGAGGTGAAAACTTCTTTTGGTGTGAAATTCTTGCTTCTGTTTCTGAAGAGCAGGTCAAGACCTTCACACAGTCCATGGAAACGCTGATCTTCACTGCCTCATTACATGGGCATCTGCCATGCTCTCAGGCATCCTCCCATTTCACGCTCTTTAATCTGACCCTTTAGTATATTTTGTATCAGTTAGAGCTGCAGTCACTTGTTAAGGCTTTATGATTTGGATATTGGGAATATCTAAGTTGGTGCTATGTGTTAAAATACTTCTACTTTGAGCTCCTTACCTTCTTTAACTGAGGGGCTAAAGCCATGCTAGAATTGCAACAGGCAGCACTACTACATTTGCACACTGCCCAGCTGTGTCATAAGCTTGGCAAGAGCCTGAAATTACACGAGAGAAGTTTTTTATTGGCCGTGGCTCTGATGAACATCCAAATCTCTGTGAAAATTGTGTAGAGTGTTCCAGAATTATGCAGTGGTGTCCTCTCCTTGACTCTCCACTCTTTAGCTTTGCTGGTTTACCAATAGCACTAGCTTCTGGAGGCAAGTTTTATCCATCTTCATTCTCTCAGTATCAAAGTACTAGGATACTCCCATTTGAATCTTTCATCGGGGTGGGCCCTCAGCTAAGGGTACCTGATGAAGGTAACAAGGAGCTGAGTCCCTGGGCTGCAGTGAGTAGTATGACAGCTTCCAGTCATGACATAAAGGATATGTTTCAGGAGAAATACCTAGAAATACAAAGCAGGATTTGCAGGTCAACCATGTCTTTTCTGTGTTGACTGTACAGATTCATTTAATAGGGAGTACTGTCTCAGGACAGTACTTGGTAGGAATTTGTGCACTGATATGTTTGTATTGCTGCAGGTTTCAATGTGAAACATTAGCCTCAGTATATAAACTTGAGCCGTTTTAAAAGTGTGGTCTTGCACTGATGGTTTGGAACCACAGCAGTGATGTTCCATACCCCTTGTCTCAGAAGTGCTGCTCTTCAGGTGGGAGTTAAAACTGAGTTTGGGCTTTAAAAGCACCATAACAATGTTAAGGAGAGTTAGCACGTCCATCAGTGCTGCAAGTTAATGCCTCTTTAGATGGGCAGCTGTCTTGACTGGAGAGGCTTTGCATATTGGCTCTTTGTTGTTAAAAGATATATCTGGATTACATCCTATGGAGAGGTAGGTTTATTTCCAGTGTAATGTAAGAACTTACTCTCAAAGGTTTGCACATTGTTAGGGTGCTCTGTGAGTGCTGATGGCCACTGCTTCTCTGTTGGTTTGTTGTTAACTGTTGGGCATTCCTCATCTGGGAGAGGCAGGAGACAGCCTGAGAAGCTGAGTGATTACTTCATGGTCTATAGTTGTGTTTAATGGAAACTTTAGCTATTTGCAATTGCAAACAAGGGGTGAAACCCTAGATACATAAGATTAATATTGCAAACAGGAAAGCAAACAGTGCAGGGGATGGAGCATCTGGGAAAGATCAAACATGATAAGAATCTGGTTGGTTGGAGGCAGAGAGGCCACCTGCAGGCAATTTTCTCTGACAGCCACGAACACATGGAATGGGCTTTAGGTTTTTGCCTATGAACTGGAACAACTGATGGTTCAGCTTTGATGCTGAATGTTGCATTTTGCCATGTCTGGAGGATGCAGACTGACCTGATCTGTGTCAGGAGGAAACAAGATTAGCAGTTGGTTGTTTCAGCAGTCTGTGCTGACAGGCTAAACTCGGTGTGATGAAACCGGAGTGAAACCCAGAACTCAGTGATGGGCGTGCTGGTTCCCGTGTAGGTCTCATGCATAAATTCACTCTACTTTGGAAGGCAAAATGGGCCACTCCTTTTCCACTCATCCGGGGGGCTGTAGATTGTCCTTTCCAACCCTAACTCTTCTATGATTCTGTGATCTTCTGGTGTACTTGATCCTGGAAATTATCCAAGGGAAACACGCCATCTCCCCTTCAGCAGAATCATGGATTGTTCATTTTCTCCTTACCAGCAATCCCAGACCTTTTCTCCAAAGCTATATAAGGAACAAGATTCCAGATTTTGCATAGGCCCTGCCATAGGCTTTCATGTCATTCCAGAGGAAGGTCTTTAAGGTACGTGGCTCCTGATTTGTGGTTTGTGAGGTGTGGAAATCACTGCCCAGGAGCCCAAGCTGAGTATGTGGCCACCCACAACACTGCTTGAACACAGTTCTTCTCAGCCAAGGCCTGCCTTGATCAAGTTTGCAATCTGCTTCTGGCTCTCAGACCATCCACTTCGGTGTAATGCAGCCTCTCAGTTAACTGAAGATAGCACCTATTCTGACTTCAGCACAGAGCTATGATCTGCAAAGATCTGTACTCTTTCTGACCATCTTCTTTAATCACTGTAAAACTCAACAGATTCTCAGATGCTGCCATCTTGCTGCTCTGTGCAGGCAGGACCCTTTATCTTCCATATAGACATGCAAGTGGCTCAGGATCATTGGGAAGAGTCACAAGATGCCATATTCCTTGTCCAGGGCTTTGTAGCATGCATCTTTGTTTTGCAGACAGCTTATGTGCATTAGACCCAGCCCTAAAGCTCATAGCAGGCTACTAAGAAACTCTGGGCTAGGCAGAGAGTGGGCTGCTGTGGGATATGCAATGTGATGTTGGTCTTGTGGCCTGGCTGTGACTGTATCTGGGTGTTCCCAGATGAGCCTTGCATCACTCTCTCCTAGTCCTGCATTCTGGGTCATGCATCCTCCCTAATTGCCCCTTACCTCCGCATGTGTATGTCAATGTGATGGCCTATGCCAACCCTTTCCTGGTCTGTAGCTAGTGCTGCTTCAGTGTTCCAAGCTTTTGTAGAGGTTCTGGCTTGTGTGCATCAGTAACTTCTGTCTCTTGTGTTGTCTGGTGACTTGAAAATAGGACTTGTGAGGGAAAAATAGAAATGACCTATTTCCAAGAGAATCTGTTCTTGTAGCCAGCATGGGGCTAAAAGTGGCTTAGTGGCATCTTAATGTCATGGCTGGTATATATAAGTCCTCTGGCTGCCATTTGCAGTACAAGGTGGTCGTCTGTTAGTAACAGGCAGCATTCCCAGGAACCTCAGGTTTGCTGTCCAGGGTTCAGTTTGAGGTCTCAGTTGCTGCATAGTAAGTTTAACCAAGCAGTAGTTGAGGCCAGAGCCCATACAAAGGTGAGAAAATGGCTGCATGCTCTAAATAGTGTAAATCAGTGTGGGGAAAAGGATATATTGCAAGGTTGTTGTGCATAAGTAGTGATCCTTGCTGCTTTTCTGTGCTGTGGTCTGTATGAGGTGGTTATGCTGTAGGGGAGCAAGGTGAGTAGCAAGAAAGATGGGAAGACTTTAACCCTTCACCTTAAAGGAACCATTTCATCTCCACTGGTGCTAAAAAGCAAGTCATCCTTATGGAGATGGATTGGATGTTGTGTCTGGGAGAGAACCAGGCTTTCCTTCTAATTTCCTATGTCCAAAAGATTTGTGACCTGGTTCTTCCTTAGCTAAATCTCTCAGTTCCCCTGACACTGTCTGCTAATCTTGTCCGTGCCCATCTGCCTGGATTTTGATCATGGAGCTGAGATCTCTGCTGGTGTAAGTCCACTGATGTATGAAGATTTACTTTGAGGAAAACTTGGCTTGTTGTTTCTGAAGCCTCAAGTGGTGCTTGGGAGTGTCCTCCCCAAGATGAGGATGCTCTATGGTTTGTTTGGCTCCAGTGAGATGAGGACTGTTTTGTGCTGGGTTCATACATAACATACTTTGTTGTGCTGCACTTTGCTGCTCCTTCCAGCTCAGGTTGGAAAAATATCTCTGTGGATGGAAAATGTAGGAAAGAGTGAACAGCTTGTTCTGCAATCCCCTGGAGAATCCAGCAGCTCTACTTGGTCCATGTGTAGAAGAGGCTTGTGATGATGCTTGCTTCTCATCTCTGGGATGTGGCTGGCTGGGACTGCCCTATTCCTAGGAATGTCTTGGTTTCCAGGGTATGAAATGGTTTTGATTTCTGTGCAGGATAAAGCTTCAGGTGAAGCAAGGAACAAATGCACCAGGCCATGGGCAGTTGGTCTAGGACTGTGTGTGGGATGGAAGAAGTTGTTATGCCTGTGAGGGCAGTTTTCTCTGTGCCTCCCTGCCACACATCAGGAGCAATGTCCAGGGGCAGTGTTGCAGGATTAATGCTCTGAGCACTCTGTACTTGAGGCCTCCATCCCTACATGCCCCAAGGCATCCTGGCTTCCAATCCTTCCTTTTCTTTCAGGGCTAGAGCATGGACTCTGTTCTCTATTCATATTATTTACTTGCCAGGCCTTTGGTTCAGGTTTCTGCTTCCATACTAGGCCCATGGTAACTGCTGAAAATGAGGCGTAGCTTTGCTGGCATCTGTGACAATCCAGACTTCTGCCTTGTTATGGTGGTTTCCCGTTCTCTGTTTGTCCCTTGCTGCCAGGACCACAATGTAGTCCTTAAACTGCCTGTAATCCCTGGCATTTCATCTGCAGGTGATGACAAATACGGAAGGAAAGTCATTTTGTTCAGTGCCTGCCGGATGCCCCCAAGTCATCAACTTGACCATGTGAAACTGCTGGGGTGAGTAGTGTCTTAGGAGGCTGCTGTTAACTTCTTAAGCCTGATGTAATTCCCAGGTGCTGGATTCTTGAGGCCAAATCTATCTGCAGTAGTTTCTTTAGCTGGATGTGTCCTCCCAAAGCACTTGCCTCCATTGCTGGGGGTGCAAACCCTCTGTTTAGACACACACAAGTGAGTCCCCAAGGGAGGAGGAGCCTCTCTGTGGCAGAGTGTGAAGTGAGCTCAGCAGTTGTCTCTTCTCAGGTACCTGAAGTTCACACTGGACCAGTATGTGGAGAGTGATTACACACTGGTGTACCTGCACCATGGCCTGACCAGTGAGAACAAGCCATCCCTGAGCTGGCTGCGGGATGCCTACAGGGAATTTGATCGGAAGTGAGTAAGGCTGCAGCAAGCAAGGCTGTAATGTGCTGTCCTCAAGCCTAATGTAGGTTCCTCCATGTAGCTTTTGGATCATAATTTACTATCACTTATTTCTGTTGTTTATGGAGGTGGGTTGTTGTTTAGTGCAGGCTGAATCATGGGACAAATGGCTCCTTCTGTAGTTACATCCTTTAGGCTAACAGGCAAGCAGCAAAACCGTGTGTCACCCCATGGTATAATTGTTGCTTCCTGATGCTTGGTGAATCTTGGAATACAGTAGCATGTGCCCTTGGGCTGCTGAGTGGCCTGACACAGCTAAAAAGCATGGGAGAGCAGAGGCTGTGGGTATGGGAGGTGGTGAGGCGCAGTGCAAAAGGAATGGAGCACAAGGGTGCCTTCATCTGGAAAGGTTGAATCCTCTCCTTAAAGCACAGCTCATCCTTACATAGCTTCTCTTGGCAGGTACAAGAAGAACATCAAAGCCTTGTATATTGTGCACCCAACGATGTTCATCAAGACCCTGCTGATTCTCTTCAAGCCTCTGATCAGGTAGGAAGCACTACAGGAGGCTCAGCCACATCCTCACACTGCAGGCAAACAATGAGGCATCTCAGTGGGCACAAGATGAGCCCAGCTGCAAAGCCTACCCTGGAGACTCTCATCCTATGGTGTCACCTCTTTTCTGAGGTCAGACATACTCAAACACAAGAAATACTGTTTTAAGAACCTGCAGAGTCTGCAGCTCTGTGCTGCTGCTCCCTTTTTGTCCAACCAAGTAGAATGTTGCAGGCTCTGCTAATAGTGAAAGAGGAAGTGAAAGCATCACTCCAAATCATATGTAATTCATTGTGAAATCTTAACTCTGTAAAGTAATTGAAAGCAAAACTTCTTCAGCCTATTGCTGGAAGGAGAAATCCAGTGTTTTAGGGAGCCTGCTGCTGCTGGAGCTTCTGATGTGACTTGGAAAGTCTTGGCATCTCCTGGTAACATACATGGAGGTGGAGACCAATATGGGTGACATTTCTGCTGCTCTGTATCTGCCCCTTTGCCCTACTGATGTCTCTTGCAGACCCCTGCTCTCCTTGTCTGTAGGAAGTCTGTTCTGATACTGGATTTCCCCATTCCTCACATAATCCTCTTTTCTCTTGTTTTCAGCTTTAAGTTTGGACGAAAGATCTTTTACGTGAACTTCCTTAGCGAGCTGGAGGAGTATGTGAAGCTGGAACAATTGGGGATCCCAAGCCAAGTGCTGAAGTAAGAATGCTGCCTGTCTCCCGTTTGCTTAGGACTCTGTGAGAGGGGACTTCTCTGGAGGAATGGCAAAGGGAGGAAGAGATTGTTCCACTCGGGTTTTGCAGGGAGTGGTGACAAATTGCCTTAGGGACTATTGTTCCTATCCATGCTCCTCCCTGTGTGTCCTTGGCCACAGTGCCAAGTTCTGTCCCAGTGGAGCACCAATCCTGCCTCTCCTCTGGGGCTCTCTTCAAGCTGTTGGCCTGGATTTCATGGTTCATCTGCTGTGTCTGGGCACCTGCTCTGCTCACTCTGCACAGTTCAGCTTGGTTTTGGGGCTTCCCAGCATCGCCACAATCCCAGTCCTGCCAGATCGATTCCCTGTCCTTCATGCACACATGCAACCGTCTCATTGCAAGCACTGCTGCCCTGGCCTCCTGCCCATGCTGTCATCCTCAGCTACTCCAGCTCCTGATTCCACATAGATACTCCTTTCTCCCTGCTTTTTCCTGGTAGCCAGACATTTGATCTTGTTGCCCCTGTGCTCCAGAGCTGCATAGGTGGAATCAAGCACACTAGGCTGGAGCTGTTACCAGTGGATGTGCAGTGGCTCATGTGCAGTGCTCGGGTCATGCTCTTTCTGGGAGGTGGGGTGGCTCCTTACTAGTCTGTGTTTTGCCACAGGTACGATGAATATCTGAGATCCCTGCAGAAACCTTCACAAGTGCCCCCGAAGCCAACCCCTCCGCGCCCCCCACTGCCAAACCAGCAGTTTGGAGTCTCACTCCAGCTGTGAGTATCCCTGCATTGTGTTGCTTTTGCCCTGACTTGCTTGGTACGAGCCCACTGTGTTTGCAGCTGAAGAGCAGCACAAGTGGCTGTAACCTTCCGGGCAGTTCAGACTTCCTGCAAAGCTTTCATCATTCTTCTGAGGAGCCAGATGACCAGATCCTGACCCGCTTCAGTTCTACCTTCTTGATTCCGCAGCGAGATTGTGTCTAAATGAGGATGGGATTGCTTCTGCAGCTAAGGGTCACTAAGGGAGGAACAAAACAAAGGCCATATGGGACAGCTTTGTATCACTATGGACTTCCTATAAACAAAGGAAGTCTGTTGGAGGCTGGTGGAGGTGTCTTTAGGGCTGTGCTGATTGAGCAGGGCTGCGGGGCTGTTTCCTAGGTTTTTCCATATCATAAACTCTATTTTAAAAGCACTTCTGTTCACCCTCATGCTGATCCCATCCCCCATTCCTGCAGGCTGACACAGGCAAACACAGACACTGGCAAGGGCTAGTGATACTGGCTAAGTGGTGAAGGTATTTTTAACTTGGAGTGTGATTTTGCTTCCCCGGGGAATGAGGAGGAGCCAGTACCCTGTGGCCAGGCAGATCCTCTGGAGCAACCTGGCAACACATTCCCCAGCTTCACCACGTTTCCAAATGGTGTTTCCTGTGGTGCTGTGTGCCTGGGCCTGTGAGTAGCCTGAGAGGGGTGAACAGCTCCATGCCATCAAGTGGTACAGACAGCAAACACCTTGGCATCACTAAGTCTTCCCTGACAGCTGTTGGGTTGATGCATCTTCTGCTACAGGAGTGGGATGGATAAACTTACTCCATATGTATTTCTCTCATATGTCAGCTTCTTTCTACCCTTGCTCCTATGGGGAAGTAAACAGGAAGTTTAACCCTTTCATCTTACTCATAACTAGCAGCCTTGCCTTCTGGGAACTCCTTTGCCTTGGAATCTACAGGCTGTGGGGTTTACAGAAGAGAGAGGATTACTCCTCTGGTGTAGTAATGAGCTCATACTTGCTCCAGTGAATGATGTAGCATGATGGGTGAATGGGAGAGAAGGCTGGAATAGTGGTTGAGCCTCGGACTGGGATAGCAATATCCTATAGGGTAGGGCTTGTGACTTAAACACTCAGGGCTGCATGCAGGGTAGGGAAGACCCGTCATTTGTAACCTTTTGTCTCTTCCCACAGTCTCAGGGAGAAGAGCCCTGATCAGTCTCCTGTGCCTCTGGTGGTCAGAGACACCATTGCTCACTTGCGGGACCATGGTGAGTGTAGAGGGGGAACTGCAGCCCCTCTTTATTCCATATCAGTGGCTTCTCCTCCATCCAAGTTCCCACCTAGAGTGTGGTGAGATAAAGAACAGTGGTCTACAATGAGGTGTAAAGGCCTGAACTAAGCGAGTTAGCGTTCAAGAGAGCATGCAGGGCTCAGGAGACCTCTTTCTTCCACTCATCCCTACTTCTTTAAGAGCAGCAAAATGCTCCTTGTGTCCTTTGCCTGCTAGTGGAAGCAGACAGGATTGCCATGGTCTAAAAAAGGGACTACTTGTCATCAGTTTGAATGCCCAAGGCATGGATTTATGACTGTTAAGACCAGCATTTTTAGGCTCTCACGTGTCTGATCTTTTTTCCCCACCTGGTCTCCCTTCACAGCTCTTACCACAGAGGGGATTTTCCGGAGATCAGCAAACACACAGGTTGTCAGGGAGGTCCAGCAAAAATACAACATGGGTAAGTGCCCACATTCAGCAGAGCCCCTCTCATTCCCAACTGGAGCTGTGTTGGATCATGGCTCCTCTCCTTCTTTGATAGGCCTCTAGGTGAGGCCCCATCATGGCATGACCTGAGCTGCAAAGGAGAAGCACCTGATACTTCTGCTGTGTAGAAACCATGTTCCTTCCCACTTACATTCCCGTTGCTGCCTTTTTCATTCCTGAGTTTCCCTGTTTCTTGGGGTGGGATATACCACCTTAGTCAGGTTATACTGTAGGGACTGAAGATGACCAGGAAGAAACTTTTTCATCTATTGCATCTGATGACTCTAAAGATGTAGTGCTGGATTCAGCAGTGCTTTGTACATGCTTTTGGGACACATTTTTCCACTCTCCTAAAAGATGTGGTGCTTCAGTACCCTCTCTGTGTTCTTCTTCAAACTCTTGCTTCCCTAGTTCTGAGCTCTGGCCACCACCATGTCCCATTCTGTGTTTGGAGGAAGCCCTGCTTCGAGCACTGACGTTCTGCTCTGCTTTCTCAGGTGTGCCTGTAGATTTCCAGCAGTATGAAGATGTCCACCTCCCTGCTGTGATTCTCAAGACCTTCTTGAGGGAGCTTCCTGAACCCCTGCTCACTTTTGGCCTCTACAGCCATGTTGTCAGCTTTCAGAGTGAGTTGTAACAAGAGTGTCCTACTCCTGAATGTTACACTGGCCACAAGCAAAGATAGCCTGGGAGGAGGGCATGCATGGGATACCCTGTGACTGATTTCATCACGGTGAGTGCTGAGGATTCCTCACGGACCTGCTTGTCTGTCCCCTCTTTAGATGTGGAGGAGGAGAATCGTGTGGGTGCTGTTCGCAAAACACTCCAGACTCTGCCAGAAGAGAACTACCAAGTGCTCCATTTACTGACAGCCTTCCTGGTGCAGGTGAGTGGCTCCAAAGGTGGGCGGTTATGCTAGTTCAGTTGCCAGTGCCTTGAATCAGCTTTTTAACTGCTAGCTCCCTCTTTTCCTTTGAGAGGAAATGAGTCTCAAGTCAGGAAATTGCCTTTTTCTACCTTTACTGTTAAACAGATCAAGAGTGATCATGATGACCTAGCCTAAGCAGTTATTTCTCATAACACTGAGATGTGCAGGTGGGCATTAAGCCTGTGTGGTTTGTATGAGAGAGGATGAGAGTTCCCCAGGGTTATATATCTGATGTGTGTGTATATATATATGTGTGTGTGTATATATATATATCTGCAAGACTAGAAGAGGGGTCTCTGATCTGCCCCACAGTGTTTTGTGCTGCCAGGGAAGCCACTGCAAGGCTGCTCTAGCAAGAGGGAAGGTAATCTTGTTTTGAGTGGTGACCTGGACCTGTAGAGATTTTGGCTGGCAGTACTTTTGGTCCTATTGTTATGATGTAGCCTGGTGGTTAAAGCTATGGTGGCAAATGGCAAGTTACTGCTCCTCACCTCCTGAATGCTGGTGTCGTGTGTGTTTCTGTCTTCTGGCACTAGGCCTTCACTTTCTCTCCTCCCATTTTCCCCTGGGGATCTAGGAGCTCTGGCTTTGGGGAGTGTAGAGGGCACCTGCTGTGTTGTTCTATAGGATTCCTGATGGGCTCTTTCCTTCCCATACAGGTCTCTGCTCACAGTGACAGAAACAAGATGACAAACACCAACCTAGCAGTTGTGTTTGGCCCAAATCTGCTGTGGGCCAAAGATGTAGCCATCACCCTAAAAGCCATCAACCCCATCAATACCTTCACCAAGTTCCTGCTGGACCACCAGAAGGAGCTCTTCGAGGATGTGGAGGCCTGAATCCAGGCCAGCCCACACCAGCACACTGTGCTCACCTTCCCACCTTCCTTCCCACCTTGTCTTGGAGCTGTGACCCAGCTGACTCCAGTGCAAGGGGACTATTGATCCTCTGGGTGATGAGCAGAGTGAGGGCTGTGGAGATGGTGGAGAAAGTGTGTAAGTAAGCGAGCAGAGACCCACTGCTCGGGATGGGGAGGGGAGCTGGTCTCCCTGCTGCTCCGAGTGGAGTCCTGGCCCCCCTGCCAGTCTGTGCAGCTCCTCCAGGCCTCATCACCAGCCTGCTGCCCTATCGGATGCCCTGCCTCTTTCCTCCTTCCCTTTCTGCCCTCCTGGTCCCTTCCTCAGCAAAGACCGTTATTGTTTCAGCTCACAACAGCCCCAGTTCACCCCCTTGCCTCTGCTGGGCTGTCTGGGTGAGGGCAGCTCGCTGGGTTTGTGGCAGAGATGTTCTTGCTACCAGTGCCATCCCTCAGTCCTGAACATGCATCTGCCTTTCCCCAGTGGCACCTGAGGCAAGGAGGGAGCTGGGCAGCTCTTGTGCTTGTCCTGCACTTGCAACAACACTCCAGACCCCATGGTTTTGGCAGGCAAGTGAAGGACACGCTCACAGCACATGGGCTGTTACTGCTCAGATTCCAATACAAGGAAGCTGAATTTAACCCAAACCCCTCTGGGGTCCCTACTCTTGATACTCTTCAGTGTTTGCTGGGGTGTAGTGGGTGAGGTGCCTCCCAGTTACCCAGCTCAGGTGGTGTTGATCCCTCCGGCAGCATTTCCAGCCCTGCTGGGAAGGCACATGCCAGGCCTGTCTGTGTGGATGGGTGAGTCTGAAGGGCAGGGAGCAAGTGCCCTGGTGGCACTGAACCTGCTGCATGCTACGAGCATCACTGCCTCTCCCCGGGGCAGCCGCACAAAGCCCCTTTCCTCTGTCAGATGTGTGCATCTGTGCTGATGGCACAGAGACCTTGGCTTCTTGAGCAGGACTCTCCCCAGCGCAGCGTAACAGAGAGCATGGCCTTGAGGGAAGATATAGGGGCTGGGGCTGATCCTCACCCTGCAGTGCACTGGGCTGGGCTTACATTTCTGCCCAGGTGCTGAGCACTCATGTGCCAAAGCTGTGAGGGAACAGCTATTCCATGCCAAGGGCCTTTGCCTTGTCTCCTCTTCAGTTCTGAGCTACCTTCCTTCTGTCCTACCATGGAAGCCTGGTCAGATGCATCCTGCATGCCCTGGGCATGGCTGGAGAGGTTGGGTTGTCTGCAGAGCAGGCTCAGAGTGGGGTGGACCTGCTACCTGTGAGGGCATCCCGGTTGGGTTTGGGTTGCAGTGTTCCCATTACCTGACCTGAAAGAGATCCCTCTCCTTAGCCTGACCCAGCAGGGTGTTAGCAGGGAGCTTGTAGCCTTACATCACTGGTGTGTTGTACCTTTGTATCTCGTGCCCTGCGTGCCTGGGCCAGGCCCCTGTTGCTGCATCTGGCCACAGGGACAGATCTTTTTGGACCAAGCAGAACTGTTTTAAATAGCTACTGGATGCAAAATACCGTTTGCTTTGTTGTAGTATTTTAGCCTGCCTTTAAACACTGACAAGGGTTGGTGCCCCAGCTGTAAGCAGGTTAAGTGTCATCTGCTGCAGGCATTATGGAAATGGCCCTTATTGCTGAGCTCTGGAATAGGCATGGGTGAGGATACAGGCAGCTCTGGTCCATGAAGGAGGAACAGCAACATATGCATGGGAATAGTGAGAAAGAAACTGAGCATCACTAAGGAGGTGTTTGATTAGAGGGCTGGGGTCTCATCCCATCTACATAGTGGGGACTTTGTCCTATGGAGGCTACAAGGCTGCTTAGTCTCCCTGTTCCAATACCACTGTTATTAACTTAGCCTGTTGGTCCAGAATAGGAATTGTTTCAGCCTGAACAGCAGTAACCAGATGTTTTGGAGGTAGAGACACTCAGCTCCTAATTCACCTGTGTTCTGTGCTAGAGGAAGTTAGCAGGGCTGGTGTGCCGTGCAGGAACAATGGATGGTGTGGAGAGGAGAGGTTTATCTGCCCCAGCGTTTGCTTTAAGAGGCCCCAGTGTTTGCTCTAAGAGGCAGGGATTTCTGGACAGCCGGGGAGGAGTGTGGAGGCAGAGGGAGCCCAGTGCAGCCCCTTGTCCCCTGTAGGCACCCTATGCTGTGCAGGCTTCAGTTTGGGGGTAGACTTGATGCTCCAACTAGATCTGAGCTGACACTGGCCTCCCTTACATCCCCCTAGAGGAAAGGCAATCCCAGCTCGCTTCCCCTGGGACAAACAAGACCAATGTTGGCAGCATGGATCGGGAAGTGCCTGCGTGCTGGGGCAGGAGGCCTTGGCCCTGTGTGTAGCCCCAGCTCCCAGGGGAGGCTGTCACGTTCCGGACCATTCCCTTCAGTAGCGAAGGGAGCAGTGCTGGGGTAGCTTAGCTCCTCCCCAGCGGCAGAGCAGGGGTTGCTGGAAGTGTCCATGTTCTGGCTGGAATTTTTTGGTGGGTGCTTCTTTTTAATTTTTTTAAATTTTGTTTTTAAAGCGAATTCTTGAAATAATCTTTCCTTTTTTAGCCCAGTGGAGACGGGCGCATCCCCTGCAGGCAGGGATAAAAGCCTGCGCCAGTCCAGTGCCTGCAGGGAGCAGATTTGGAGGGCATTCAGGAAGCTGCTGCTGCGCACGGTGGGAAAGTGCTTGCAACTCCTGGAAGGGACCCAGTGTAAATATCCCTTTGTCTGCTGCTCCTCATGCCGGAGCTGCCGGGGGCCCTGGCGCAGGCACAGGGACCGGGGTTGCTTTTGCTTCTGTTGTCTGCTCTCCTGGAGGCCTTGCATTGAAACACCCCTTGTGTGAATTGAGCAGGGAGCTGCGTGGGGCTGCCTCAGCCTGTGCTGGGTGCGTGCCTACCGGAGCCTACATCTGCCCAGACCAGGGGCTGAAATTCCCTCTGTTCCTGGGCAAAGAGCCTCTGCACACAGCCAGGCTCTGGCAGGCTTGGGTGTCTCTGCTGCATACAGGTGCAGGCAGTATCTGATTAGAGTGCTGGTCTTTGTTGTTCTCCTTGCTGTAGAGCTGCCCACGGGTCTCTTCCCTGTCTTTCAGGTTAGCTGTTAGCCATTTCTCCCTGTGGGGGTACTTGTTACACTTCAACCCTCTGCTCTTTAGCATCTCAGCCATTCCCCTCTGTTTAAGCCTCCTGCTGTCTTATCGGCCTCTGCTCCCTGCCCCACGCTGTGTCCTGACACCAGAGCTGTCAGGGGGCACAGGGGTGCCGGGGCCAGCTGGATGCCTTGTGGCAACGTTTGCTATTTGAGAGCTGAGGACCACTTTGGTCCTTGTTACCTTTCATGCACGGGGGCTCCTGTGCGTAACTGTTGGCTTTTGCTTTTGTTGCTGGTGTTCCTTGCTGCCTTTTCTGTTGATGTTCGTGAGGTGCAGGCTGGGGTCTCACGGTTCACAGTTTGTTTTCTTCCAATCTGCACCAATCTTGTATTTCACAGTTTGCACTTTTTGTATTTCAATAAAATTCAACTTGTAATCCCAGATCCAGCTGTGTCTCACAAGTGACAGGAGCTGTGGCACATCTGTAAGGCACAGAAGTAAAGCTGGCTACGCTGCCAGCCGTAATAACCATGCACAGAGGGAGGAGTGTGAAATTCCGCCTGTGTGAGTAACTGGGAAGAAAGACTGGTTTGCAGGAGCCTCAGGTTGGGAGCAGAATTCAGAGCAAAGTGAAGCAGGACTGGGCTCCCATGTTCCCATCTCCCTGCCATGATGAGCACTCGGAATGGGATTGCCCTTTCCTAGAGCTGGAACTTGGGCAGCTCCACAGGTTGTGGGATCACTAGGTGCCAAGTGGGAGCCACCTCAAGGCTCTCCAGTTAGGATTAGTGGGCTGAGTTTATCCTGTGGCTAAGTGGTCCACGCAGCAGAGACCTGCACCTTCTCGTGTCAACTCAGGTGGACTGCTAACTCCTGGATGTCTTCTGCTACGCTCCACCCCTTGATCCACGTACATCTAACCTTTGCCTGCAGACATGGTAATTCCCTGGTTACACAGAATCATAGAATGGTTAGGGTTGGGAAGGACCTTGAGATCATCCATTTCCAACCCCCCTGCCATGGGCAGGGACACCTCACACTAAACCATCTCACCCAAGGCTCTTGAACATTGCCAGGGATGGAACATTTACCACTTCACCAGTAAGCTTTTTGGCTGACAGAAAGGCTCTTAAATGCAAAGTGATTACTGTGATTAATAATATGAGTGCAGCAACAAGTGAACCCAATAGTGGCTGTGAGAACAGGAGAGCAGAGCACTGGAGCTAAAAGCATCACTGTGAGGCAGACAGTAGCCTGAGCCTTGCCACCTGGATGATGTGTTGATGCTTATGAAACTGCTGTGCTGCTTTTCAGTTTCTATTACTCATCAGATCAGCCACCCAACTGGGGGCTTCCCAGTGCTGCCAGTTCTCCTTCCACACACTGCCACTATTCAGTGACTCGTGCCAAGCTGTCAGCTGTACACCAGAGGTACATTTGGCATCTGCTCACAGGTAACTCTTTGCATATGGTCCTTGTAATCTGATTTATTAATTTCTTTAGCTGCTGTAACTGACAGGACAATTCTTCAGTTCTTGAGGGGTTTAATACTTAACTTTTGGGGCTTTTTCATTCGGATGGTGCTTCTGGCTACAGTCTTATTAAGCTTTTCCACCCATTTGGACTGTGGTGGCCCCTGTAACGGGGCTGGTGCAGTCCCAGGGCTTGGTCACAGTGACCTCAGGCTGCTGCAGCAACTTCTGGCTTCAGAGCTCAGGAGTGGCTGGGTCTGGTCCTGACAGGGTGCTGTAGTTGGCAGGGCCTATGCTACGTGCACTCACATGGGTAGTACTTTACACAGTGTAAACACCAGTGCTGGATGTGTTTTCATGTCTAGCTGCCCTGTGGCCTTAAGGACATTATGCTGAGAACACTTTTCTCTTTATAAATGCATGCACTAGGCTCACATGGATGGTATTTGATTGTTCCCAACCTTGGGGATGAACCACTCTTCTACAACTGTTTACTTTTCACTTATTTGTTGATGGTGATGACTGGTGATGTGGTGATGAGGGTGGAGACTGGAGGCCCTGCAGGAAGCCTAGATCCCACAGGATGGTTTATGGGGAGTTTGCCAGCAATGCATCTTGACCCACAGAGTGCAATGTCTTTTGCAAGTGGCTGAAATGACACTCCTAAATACATACACATGCACACTCAAACATAATGCAGACAGATCTGTAGCTATAATGATGCAATGGGATACTCAGTTTGTGTTACCTCCCAAAATTAAGCACACTTTTAAGAGTTAGCCCTGTTCCTCAAACTGGAATATTTCCCTTCATGGAAGCTTCCCATATACACTGTCATTTTTCTTTTCCCCCATTCCTGCTATTCTTCTTTATAAGAACCAGACACCCTTTACATTGCAGCTTAAATCAGCAGTTCTTGTATATACACACAGATTTGTACCATCTCATCCTTCCTTTAAAGGGAAGGTGTTATCATCTTGCACTGCATCGTGTGCTACAGAGGGTTAACTTCAAGCAACACTGGACTACAGCTGTTAAGTCTGGGGATCAGACAGGCAAGCAGCGTGCTCTGTCACCAGCATCTTGCTACTGAGATACCCACACTCATTCTTCCCATATCTTATTTGTCTCTTTGAGCTCTTCTATCAGATCAAAACGCTCCCACGCTCCCTTTAAGCATGTAGTGGCAACCCCGTACAATGCAAATGCTGCTGGTGGGTTGGGATTTTCCCT